AGTCAGAACCCCCCGGATCAGAACACCTGTCTGTGAGCAGTTGTGAACATGCGTGTATATACAAGATTTCTCCAATCTGATTTTTTTAGCGTACGCCATTTTCGCCTTTTGGCCGTATGTTCACTTTTAGTATGGTTTCCACGCAATCCTTTATAAATCCGACCCCTGGAGACATCTTGATGTAAAGACACTGAGACAATGTGACATAAAGATGCAGAGATACTGTATCTTGATGTAAAGATGTAGAGAAATCTAGAAAATATGCAGAGACATCTTGATGTAACATTGCAGCGGTATCTTGAAGTAAAGATTTTGAGACATCTTGATGTAAAAATCTGGAAACATCTTGATGTGAAGATGTGTAGACACCTTGACGCAAAAACATGAAGACATCTTGATTTAAAGATGTGAAAGCATCTTGGTGCAAAGATGTAAAAGAATCATGATGTAAAGATTTGGAGACATGATGTAAGGATGCAGAGACATCTTTATGTAAAGATGCTGAGACACCTTGGCGTAAAGACATGAAGACATCTTGGCGTAAAGATGTAAAAGCATCTTGATGTAAAGATGTGGAGTCATTTTCATCTTTGTGCAGAAAACAGTGTGTTAGCCCATCTCTGAAACCACATAAACAAGTCTTTCTGTCTGAGGCTTCTTGGTTAAGAACCAGTTCTTCACGATCGAGTGTCTTAGTGCACAAGAGCGAACTTTAAAATTAACGTTCCAATTTTATGAGTCCCTGTATGTTTGGGTCTGATTACACATTGTAACCAGAGAAGATGGACAGCTCCAGGTTAGTCTCAAGGGAAACTTCCGACGCTTCATTAAGTTGTTTTTGTTTTTTTCAGCTGTTCCGTGAGGTTCGAATAATGAAAGGCCTGAATCACCCTAACATAGGTAAGACATGTGTCCTGRTGTATGTTTGTGTGTGCAAACATGTTGGAGGCTTACTCTTGTGGTGACAGTAACTGATCAGTCTCAGAGGTCAGGTGGATCAAACATTTTGACTGGTTTGAAAACACACACGAGTTCTGGGTTCTTTATGTTTCTCCTCTGTCCTGTGTTGTTCTACAGTGAAGTTGTTCGAGGTGATTGAGACGGATAAAACCCTTTACCTGGTCATGGAATATGCCAGTGGAGGTGCGTACAATCAAATAAAACTTAATTTAAAAAGCACCTGTCATCCAGCACTGTGGAACACAAAAACACACACAAAAGTGCCAAACAAGCAGAATTATTTGCATTATAGCAGGCACAAGGAAGAGAGGGACTTGGCATAATGGCATGTCCCTGAAAAAGACACTCGTAAAGGGCTCTCTTTRCCACCTCCTCCATGTACAGGTTTACAGCCCAGACCTAAACCAGTCATCATTCCGTATGCTGTGGGCATTTCAGAGAAACTGAAACGTTTATTCTCTAAACATGACGTCCCGGTGGCTTTCAAACCCCAAAACATATTACGGCAAAGATTGGTTCACCTCAAGGATCCAGTTCCCCGGCACAAACAGAGTAATATTGTGTATGCTGTTAAGTGTCAGGAGGACTGTGATCAGTTATACATCAGGAAAACAAGCAACCACTATACAAAAGAATGAGTCAGCAAAGAAAAGTTACATCTACAGGGCAGGACTCTGCAGTTTACACTCATCTACAGGTCAGGACTGCAGTTTACACTCATCTACAGGTCAGGACTGCAGTTTACACTCATCTACAGG